TTTTTTTTTTTTGCAGAACCAGAGATTGAACTGGGGCCCTTGTGCTCGCCAGCCAAGCACTTATTCTACTGAGCTATCTCCCCGACCCCCTCTTAAATACATTTTGAGACAGACTTTCTCTCTGCTGCTCTGGATGGCCTCAAACCTCAGACTACCAGAGTATTGGGACTGCAGAATGCACCATCACTCCTAAAGTTTTTATCAAACCCATGTTTTCCTACATGGTCTTAAAAAAAAAATCTCTAGCACCTACTTCCACATATCTTTGGAGACTGAAAGAGCATGGGAAGAGCTGAGCACTGCAGGGTGGGGGGCTGCCCTGCCTAGCGCGAGGGCTCCAGCCTCACACACAGGTTCTCTCATCCTCTGTTCTACACGGAGGGTACATTCTACTCTTAGCAAGCCACTCCTAGCTTACTGAATGGCACAAAAACAAAACAAACAAAACAAACATCCAAAGTTCAGGACGTCCCACCAAGAGGACAGGGCTTCGGGACAAACAGGACCTGCTGGATCAACTCAGAGGAGACACCCACGATCTCAAGGGCACTGGGCTCTGGCTGCACAAGGCATGTAGAATGCACATCTACAAATCAAGGAGGGAGTCACCTTGGGCCACACTCTTGAGCACCACATGAATGACCTCACCAAACTGTCCCACATCTCAGGACAAAGGAACTGAGTCAGAGTCAAAACTTGTGAAAGGTCAGCCAACTCATAAACAGCAGAGTGCTGAGATGTCTTCTTCCAGGTTAATGGGTACCCAGGCCACTGGTGAAGTTAATTTATGATGGTGATGCTAACTCCAATTCTGGACAGAAAAGGCCGCCTGAAGTCTTCCCTGTGGCAGCCACAGTGCTTTCTCAAGCAGCTGCAACTCTGCTGGGTCCGTGCTGCTGCCCTGTCACTACACATGGTCCCAGGGGTCCCTGTGCTTGTCTTCCCCTCCCTGGCCAAGAAGGTGATGGCTTTTCCAAGAGCACAGAACTGGCACCAAGAAGTACAGGAACCTAGGAGGGAGCCTTCTGCCCAAATATGCTACCTTCTCACCGGCTTCCACGGTGAACTGTGAGCAATGCCCCAACTCACCCGGCCACAAACAACTCTGCTCGAACTCACTTGAAAACAGAACCATAGACTGTGGGCAGGAAAAAATGTGATTACAGACACCCTCCTGCCAATCCCAAAATTCACCTAGACCTGGACTTCCAGGAGGCAATTTCCTATTCAGCATTTGTTCCACGCTTTTTTTTTTTTTGTCTTTTTGAGAGTGGGTCTTGCTATGCAGTTCAGGCTGACCCCAGACTCATTTTGCAGCCCAGGCTGGTCTCGAACTTGCAGCAATCCTCCTGTCTCATCCTCCTGAGTGCTGGGATTACAGGCGTGCACCACCATACACGGCTTGTTCTACACTTTGGATCTGAAAGTGTGCAGGCCTCGGTGATTCTGCATCTTCCTCCTCTCCAATACTGTCCCTGTCCTCCTTTACCAGGGCTCATGCCTTACCTTTTCTTATATTTCATTTTTTTGGTTTATTTTATTTATTTATTTTTTTGCAGAACTGGGGATTGAGCTCAGGCCCTTGCGCTTGCCAGGGAAGCGCTTATTCTACTGAGCCATCTCCCCGGCCCTATTTCATTTTTTTTGGAAGAGCTATTTTTCAGGGAAATGAAGCCTTTCAATTCACTGATTTTGGCCTTCTATCATGTTTAGATTTACTTAGTACACTGGGCTGTAAATTCCAGAGCTGTTCATTTCCAGGAATCATGAAAACTGTCCGTGGGAAACTCAGCATGAAATTACTTCCAGTTTTACGAGATGAACAGGCACATGTGCGGGTCCCGCCCTCCTGCCTCATCCAGATGTGTCCCTTGGGCAACTCCTTTCCTCAAGTCAGTGCCTATTGTGCCTGAGTCACTGGCAGGCATCTTTTTACAATATCGAGTTGATTTTCCCCACGACTAGCTGTTTATTATCTCTCTTTTAAAAAATGTATTTATACAGCGTCTACATGGTCTCACTATGCAGATAAGACTTGTAGTGATCCTCCCATTTTTCAGCCTCCCAAGTGCTGGGATTACAGGTGCGTGCCACCACACCCAGTCTCAATTGCTGTCTCAGGGTAGGGCTGGCACGGCATGCTGGGGATTGAACCCCAGTTCCTGGGTCTGCACAAGCAGGCATTTTAATCTGCTGAGCTATCTGACCAGCCCTTTATATGTCTATTCTCTATTCCTGTTTTTTTGTTTGGCTTTTCAATTTATTAATGGAAATTATTTTTCATTTTCTGAGTTCTAAAGAGAGAATTTTGCACGTTGCTTCCCTCCTTTCCAGAGCTGCTATGCTTGGTCCATCCACCTGTCCCATTAGGGTGATGGGGCTTCCTTACGTTTTCAGGCAGCTATATGTCCAAGCTCACCTGAGCAACTGCTTTTCCTTCTGTGCATTCACTATATGGCTCAGCACTTGTTTTCTCAATGGCTTCTGATGCCTCAATCCCCCTCCCCCGTCTGGCCTTGACAGGGTGTGACCCTCAGGATTCAAAATGGCAGATACTGGACAGTGAGGGCTGAGACCTGAGCCAGGGCACAGCCCCATTCTCCCTCACTCTCACAGGCCCAGCTGCAGGGCAGGCACCTATGTCAGCAAACCAGGCACAGAAGCCTCATTCCAGACCTTATTCTTACATAGGGTCTTGCTACGTTTCCCCTCTGAGTGGGGGTCCCTGTCAGCCTGCAGGCTGCTCTGGAGTGGGGTTTTGCTCCCACCCTACTCTGTTCCAGTGTTCACCCTGGGTTCTGCTATTTGTTTGACGTTTTACCTGTTATTGCAGTTTTTGGATTTATAGTACCAACATGATCATAAGATAAAACAGTGTTTTCTGTTTTTTGCTATAGAAGAAGTCACTTGAGGGGGCCTGGCCCTAGCTCAGGCCTTTAAGTGGCTGCTTAGACAAAGCTGTCAGCCACAGGTTGCTGGAGTTCGAACCTCACACCTCTTCCGCTGGCCAAAAGTGCCCTGAAGGCATTCGAGGAACCAAAAAAAAAAAAAAAAAAAGAAGTCACTTGAATATAAACATATATGCATGGTTTGATAAACAGAAATGTCCTACCAGGATAAATCTTGAGGAATTTATCTGGGTCCACAACATCTCCAGAGGTCTTTAGAAATATGTTAATGATACGACAGGAGATCAGCCGAGTGGTCTGCATGTCCTCTTCCAGGGTGGCCAAGACCTGAGGCAGCAACGCATCCTGAACGTCATGCACCTGGAACCGTAAGTGTGTGTGAGATGGTGCCGGCAGCTCTGCTCTGACTGCTTGGGAAGAGGTGTCCAGCTGACATGAGCACAGTGTAGTCTGAAAGGCTGTAAACATGGTACCAAATATGCTAGAATATAGATCTTTAGGTCGTTTGAATAATTTTTGTTTTAAGTTGGTCAGTGAACTTAAGTTTTTTTAAACCAAGACTTGAAATTAAGACCTTGTGCTTACAAGGCAGGCACTTTGCCAGGTCAGTGGATTTCTAACAGCCCATAATTATCAATCCATCAAGGCCCAGCCCTGCCACTTATGGCGGTGCACTGCGGGTCTTCAGAAGCACTTCAAAGCAGCAACCTTTCCATGGGCCAGGAGGGGGCACTCACACACTGCAGGGCTGAGTTGAAAGGCTTCCCAACTGCTGTGGAATTACTAATTTATTTCTACTGCTTCCTGGTTCCCAGCACTGGATGGACACAAGAAGCAGCAACTTAGAAGGCAGAGGCCTGGACTCCTTGGTGGGTCCTACGATTAAATTCTTAGTCTTATAAAGAATAGTGCCAGCCCCAGCCCTGGGTGCACTGAGCTGCCCACTGACACCAGGTGTGGTGGCACATGCCTGTCATCCCAGCACTGGGGAGGCTGAAAACAGGAGGATCGCTACAAGTCTGAGCTCTGTAGTGAGAACCTATATCAAATACATAAAAAAGGAAGAAAAATAAATAAATAAATGAAAGAATATCCAATATGTAAACCTAAGGGCCGGGCATGATGGTGCAAACCTGTAACTGGAATTCAAAGCCAGCCTGGACTACACAGTGAGATCCTGTCTCAAAGAAAGCAAACGCAGGATAGGAGGCCAAATCCTTGCTAGGACCCCAGCTTACCTGAGGAGACAAAACCTGTAATACTGTCTGGCAGCCGGACCTCTGCCCTCTCTCCTGCTCCTCCCACCCACACAGGCACAGGACTACTTCCCTCCACGGCCAGCTGTTCCCAGCTCAGGTCTGCCCAAGCCCTGGGTGCCCAGGACACAGTGGTGCTCCCCTACCTGCTTGGCTGACAGGATATCACCGCTGGTGAGTGCCCACAAGCAGGACACGGCAGCTGTGCGGATGGCTGCAGCTGTCTTCCCTGCTCGCCACTGCAGATTTGGCATCAGAATGTCTTTTACCACTGAGTCAAGGTAGACACAAAACTGCCTGGAATCAACATAGGGGACAGTGGTGAGCAAAGGCCAAGACTCGCTTCAAAGGAAGTATCTTGGTTTGGGCTGAGGGAAAGAGTAGATGGTAAAAGTGACACCAATAGGAACATTTTCTGTTCCTGGAAAAGATGGGGACTTCAAATGTGATAGCTGTATCTCCAGTGGGAAGAGGGTGCCTGGCCTGGCCTCCTGTCTACAAAAATACCTGAATGTTTTACTTACATAACCTATTTCTTTTCTTTTTAAAAAAACTATTTATTTGGCACAGGGTCTTGCTACGTAGCTCGGACTCATAGTGATCCTCCTGTCTCAGCCTCCCCAGTGCTGGGATTATAGGTGTGTACCACCATGCCAGGTTCCTGTGGCTGGGACAGCATGCCCAGGGTTCTGGGCCTGCACGGCATGTAGTACCAGGGATCAAATCTCGGTCCCTGCACTTGCCAGGCAGGTGCTTAGACCACGAAGCCATCTCCCTAGCCCTTAACTAACCTATTTCTCATGATACTGATTTCTTCCCTTAAGAAGCCTTTAATCGTGTGGCTCTGGGATTGTGGCTGAGCCCAGCAGCAGCATTGGGCTGGATCCAGAGCTTGGGCAGAGCATGAGGACAGCAGCCACTGTCTCTGCAGCAACACTGCCCCAAGTGTCGCCCATGCGAGCATCTGCCTGCATGTGGCCACCATCAGGGCTCACATGGTACCCTATTATGGTCCTTCTGGGCTTGAGGTTATGGTAGACAAGCAGGAAAAAGAATTTCCCAATGAGCTGACTAGAGGCCCAACAGCAGAGAAGAGATAAAGGTGGTAATTAAAGTTTTAATGATCAAATTATTTGCACAGGAAACTGCAGCCTATTGGTCACATTTGCTTCCATGGACCTGTTTCCTGGGAGAGGAGGATTCCCGGTGCCAATGGAGCCAGAGCAGCCAGGTCTGTATCCTGAGAGCTGGGTCCTGCCACCTGTCCCCACTTCTTCCCACCTTTTGGTCTGGGACTCTACGTGACTAGGTATTCTGATTTAATAGAGGAAAAATGGTGGCCAGAAAGCAGCTGGAGCCACTTTCCCAGGGCCGTTTGGATTCTCTACACTACCCACAGCCTGGCACACTGGTCACCTCCCACCTGGCCTGGGGCACAGATGTTCCTGCTTTCACAGGCTTGTTCCTCTCTTCCATGTTTTTTGTTCCTTTTTCCTCATTTCAAAGCAGCAAAATTGGAGACCCTTAGTGTTTTAATGCTACCTAAAAGTTCTTTCAGATAATGGAAGGCTATCTGTACTGCTTTAACCATCAATGGCAATTCAGTCAGTTCTTCGTTAGGTTTGAAAGGTACCGAAAGGCTTTTAAAAGTGAGAATAGCTAATATATAAACCATTAATAGTTAATGTTCCCTAAAACTTTTTCATTCAGTGGAATTTTAATGACCACACTAAAATAACTTTGATTTACTGTTTCAGTATTTCTCTGTAATGCACTACTCTCCTGATCATGCAGTCCACCAGAGGGGATGGAAGGTGGCATGACTTAGCCCACAGAGAAGCTCAGGGATGCCTTCAAGCTCCCACCTATGACTTCAGGAAGAGGAAGCACTGCCCAGTGCATTGGGGGCAGAGGGGGTCCCACAGTATAGGGGCAAGTTGGGGAGCCCTTCCCAGCACCCACAGGGCTTGCTTTGCCAGACATAAGGATTGCCTACCCCTGGGAGTCAATGGTGTCCTTGGGCCTCAGCAGCAGGCTAGAGAGGATGGAGAAGAGCTTCAGGCACATACGGGGGTCTCTTGTGGTCTGCAGACAGGCCCTGAGGGTGGGGACCACGTGCTGCAGCGCTTCTCCCACAGCAGGGCCTGGAAAACAAGACAGACAGGCTGTAGACATTTGAGGACCAGAGCAGGAGCCTGGGCTCGGGGCAGGGAGCTGACCTGAGAACAGGAACACTTGGGAACAGCCACGCCACACTATACCTTGCCTTTCCTGTAGTGCTGCTCTCCTGATCACAATGGAAAATGTACCTCCTGAAGTCCCTCTTAGCACTCAACAGTAAGCCTTCTCTTAGCAAAATTTTAAAGATCAAGGGCCAAGCTGTGGCTAAGTGACAGAATGTTTGCCTATCATGTACAAGGCAATGGGTTCATTCCCCAGTACCATTATAAAAAAAAGAATTCAGTCAAATCAGTTATCAAAATGTTCACACTGGGGGCCGGGGAGATGGCTCAGTGGAATAAGCACTTCCCTGGTAAGCGCAAGGGCCTCAGTTCAATCCCTAGTTCCGCCAAAAAATAAATAAATATATAAAAATAAATAAATAAAACCAAAATGTTCACACTGTCCATAATGTGTCTGCAACTTTTCAGCCTGTCCACTTTCAAAGGCAGATGAAGAAAAAGTTTGCCTCATTCCATTAAAACTTTTGGCACTGATCTGAAAACTCACAAATTTGGGCTAAAACCAAATCACTCTGGTAGCCAAACATGCTCTTTGAATCAAGAGAATAGTGGCCCCAAAACATTTTGTTTTGACATGTGCCAACAAACAGGGCTTCAGATTTTATTTTGTGGTACCAGGAATCAATCTCAGGACCTTGTGCTTGCCAGGTAGGCACTTGTGTCACTGACCTGTCTCACAACCCAGGGCTTCAGATTTTATAACAAATACAAGTTGCTCAAGCCAGTCTGCTCTGAAACATGCTTTGCTCATTCTTCAATAATTCAGAGAACAAGCCAAGCAACCCAAGGCTTTGCTCTTTTAAGATATGGTGTCTCTAAACCAAATGTGTTCCATGCCTACAAAATGAGGCAGGGTAGCCTCCCCCAGAGGAAGCTGCATGTGTGCCTGGGAGGGAGAAAGAGATGAGAACAAATATTCAGGAGTGAATATCAAAACTCCTGAGACCAAACAATTTCATTCACAAAGGAAAAGAGAGAAGATGCTTTAATCCATGTGTGTGTGTCTCAACATTGTCTTCCTGGCCTTCCACCTGTGGAGCACACTTTTCCTTTGGCACTTCCCCAGCTAACTATGACAATGTAAAGGACTGCTAATCTTTAAATCCTGGACCAAACAGATCAAAATCACTCAAAAATTCAGTGTCCACCACTACTCACAGGATAAGAAGATAGGTGAATTGAAATGCCTTGAGTGCTCTTAACATGAAGTCTGACATGTGTTAGCACCAGGAATGGTGTTAGCAGGGAATGCTTCAGGCTTTGCAATGGCAGGTGTGGGCCTGCACAGCCAGTCTGCCTGTGGGCAGGGAGGGCATCTGCGCAGGGCCATGTGCCTGGGGCTGCGCCCCCAACACGTGAAATGAACGAGTTCAGGAAAAAGGATGGAATATGAAAGTTATACCTTCAGACAGGAAGGCACTCCAGGAAGTTAGAAAGAATAACAGTATGAGCAAAATCTTGGCAGCATTTCTATGAAGTCAATTCCTACTATATGCATGGTCTGGCTGTGCCCTGCTGTGAGTGACTGTACATTGCTGAAACAGTGGCTTCCAGGCTGTGCTTTGCCCTGGATGACTCCATTTCACAGAACAGCAGTTTGTGCCACTGGAATGCAAATGCTGAGGCAAGATGTCTTGGTCACTCACTTGTGTAAAGAGATAACCTGGGATGCTGAACACACCAAACCTGGCAACCCTCAGCCGCACAGAGCAACTCTGTGGCACAAACTGACAAATTCTTCTTGCTTAACAAAAAATGTATGAATGCTTAACAATGAATGTACCACCCAGGGAGATAGCTCAGTAGAACAAGCACTTGCCTGGAAAGCACAGGGTTCTGAGTTCAATCCCCAGTACTGCGCGTGCGCACACACACACAGAGTATCAAATTAAATCAAGGGCACATGTACACATGACATAGCAGTTCTATCACAGAAAACTTGTTGGACCTGAGACTAAAAAACACCGTGACTCCCTCACTTGGCTCATGCAGGAGAGGTGTGTGATCCTAGGTACAGTGGCAAACACACATACCAACCTGCCACCTCATCAGTCCACCTGGTAAATGTAACAGGAGCTGATAGGCTTTTGGTCCCTGCTTTCAGCTTTGCTCTGTCTCCATGCTTTATGTGGTCCGAACTGCCTGCTGCCCAGACTTAGGCTCTGAGCACTTCTGCACTTTCAACAAGCCCCAGACCTCAAAGCAGCTCAGTCTGCTCTGTAATCTTATCTGGCCACCAGTGGTAACTCTTCATGTCTCTACAGACTCAGCCTTTGCTGTCAGTCCTGTCTCTTCCAATGCTATGGCCACTCTTCACCACTTCTTCTCTGTTCTGTAATTTAAGTATTATTTTACGAAGTGTGATGTGTGATTTGAGTGCTATAGACATTACTAATTAATGCTGGAATAAAAGAACCTGTGATTGCCCAACTTACTGGCTACCAAGAGTGGACTCTGAGTATTCACCCAGATGGGACTGATGAAACTGACGCAGCTTACGAGTTTATTGTTATTTAATAAATTCAGACATTGTAGAAAGACACACGAGTCCAGCCAATGTCACTGGCATAGCTCACTGATGACAGTGATTCTGGCCAGGGCTAGGTCTGCCTTCCAGGCTCGAGTCAGTGTGGAGGAGACCAAGGAACAGGTCATTTCCAATACAGCTGGCCTTTCTCACTCAGTCCTCTGGGGCATGCCACATGGCTCTTCACCATGGGTCTAGAGACACCACACCCTGGGAGCAGCCTTTGGTCACAGCCTCTAAGGCCTGGAGCAGCTAACACTCTTGGTTTTGAAAAGCACTGCTTTTTAGGAATTTTTTTTCTTTAAGTGAAATGCATTCTGCAGAAGGATAAACCAAAAACTCAATGATCAGTGTAGAGATGCAGGTTTGGGCTACAGACCCTAGATGCACCCCTGGACCCTCAGACCATCCTTGTCATCTGCATGACATACAGAAACATCTGCTTGAAGCTAGCTGACCTCATGACAGCTGGTGCTGGTACAGTCTCTCTCCTTCTCTCCCCCCACCCCACACTCCCCTACTAGGCAGAGATGGGCAGGCATAGTTGCTCAGGGATTGAGATGATGGGGACAGAGCTCCAAGAAGATGCTCTGGGACCTGAGGCCAGTTTGAAAGAAGGGTCCGCTGACCATCTACATGCAACCCCTAGTATGGCAGAGCCAGAGGCCATGTGGACTCACATAGATGTTTAATTGGGTTTCATTCCTTTTCACACCCCAGGGTAGGAGGTCCCCCTGCTGGAAGCATCTGTTGTTTGAGCTGTTTACTCTGGCGAACTCTGTGCAGAGGACCTCATGCTCAGAACCCCACATTGCTCTGAAGTGGAGGTCAAGCTGAGCAGTAAAGGGCTCTCTGTGTTCTTCACAGGTGGGGACACTGGGGCCTAGGGAGTCCAGACAGACCTGAGATAGTGTGACCCTGATGTACTCTCAGACATGGCCTAGCTCAGCATGGCAGTATGTTCCTAGGACTCAAGGCCTCCCTACTGCAAAAGCCATTATTTCTGCTGCCTTCTAAACCTCCTCTCTCCATTTTTAACAAACTGGAGGCAAGCCACATTTTCTGGCCTAAATACAGAAAACAGCATCATGTCTCTGGGTCACAACTAGCTATTGGAATGTGGGATGGAAAGGATCACATCCCTCCCATGCTGACAGACTCTGGGGGCTCTGGCAGGATTTGCAAGGTGGGCCACTTGGTGTAAAGAAAGGTAAAAACCAAACCAAATCAAGACTAAAAGCCTTGACACCCCTTCTGCCATAATAGACTCCCTCACAAGGAGCACACAGGCTCTGCTATTGTCCCTTCCCTTGCCTGGTGCCACAAAGGCTCAGGATGGTGATTTTTTTTTT